AAGGGCTGCCAGGGTACCCAAAGCATCCGGCAGATGCTTGGGAGTCGTCGACGTATATGACGACTCCGAGGATGTTTTGATGGTGGCAGCGCCCAGAAGAGGCGCTGGCCAAGTGGGTAACTTAGGTCCACAGGCGGGTAGCTTAGTTCCGCAGCCAGCTGCAGCTGTCACGAACACTGAGAACAGCGTGTTCAGAGTGGGTAACAGAGTTCCACTCACGGTCGCCCAGACCTTAACTGAAGAGGAAGGCGTTGAACACGCTTCCTGTGTGGATAACACAGTGCCACACGCGGTCGCCCAGACCTTAACTGAAGAGGAAGGCGTTGAACACGCTTCCTGTGTGGATAACACAGTGCCACACGCGGTCGCCCAGACCTTAACTGAAGAGGAAGGCGTTGAACACGCTTCCGGTGTGGGTAACACAGTACCACACGAGGCCATGAGTGCCTCGGATGTCGTAGCAACGGCATCCCTAGACGTAGGCAGCGAAGCTCCACGTCACGGTCGCCGTCGTTAACGACGCCGCCGCCGCCTCAAGTCGGATCCGAACTTCGTTCCGATCGACGTCGCTTCAAGCGACTCGGAGGTAAGGGCCCCGGCTCCTCCGACAAGGCCGGTGGAAGAGTGTTATCACATCTTCGATGGCGAGACCGGTTTACCCGTCAAGGCATCTGGTGTCCACTTGGAGCCGTTGCCAGAGGTTGCAGATATACTGAACCTCGAGGAAATGACGGTCGAGTCTTTCCTGGCCATCCTTAAGGCTGGGAAGGTTGCCGAGATGGTACTCATGAGACCAGAGACCACTCGAGAGAAGCTGAGCTCCTCCTCTGTCTTGGACGAGAGCGTCCTGGAAGACCTGAACAAGCAGCGTCAGACGCGCTTGGGTTCTGAGATCCTTAAGAACCCCAAGGATCCGGTGTATCCTTTGGTGACGGAGTATGCGGACGTGGTGAACAAACACCCACCGACCCAACTCCCACCGGATCGAGGCGTACGGCACGAGATTGATCTCGTGCCCGGCACAAATGGCCTCTCCCGCGCGAACGTTGATGCCTTCTATAAAGCAGGTTATATCCATCTGGGCTTCAACCAGCAGCATCGGCGTCCGCGAAAGCATTAAGGAAAGGCTTCGAACGCAACAACGCCGTTGAATCTAATACCTCTTGTATGGTGTTCCCTGTCCGCCCTCCCACCACCACCAACCAATATTAATTCTAATCCCATTTCATGACAGGTTGTTTCACTTGAAGAATTGCACAATTTACGCCATCGTTGAGGCTTCGTGACCCCGTTCCAAGAAGTCAATTAGTGGAATTCCGCGGCCGGGAGTAGACGTAGCAACGAGGCTACCTATTAAACACAAACAACGATTCACAATAGTATAGAAGAATTTTTTTATAGAGGTAATGAATACCATGCGGGATTCCTGGTTTACCAAAGTGGTCGCTCAGATTGTTGGTGCCGTGAATTCAGTTCATGACCAACTTATCTCCCCATTCTGCGAAACACGTCTTTTTAACAGACGGCTACATGGCTATAAAGCAGGTTATATCCATCTGGGCTTCAACCAGCAGTACATCATTGCCGGCATCGGCGTCCGCGAAAGCATTAAGGAAAGGCTTCGAACGCAACAACGCCGTTGAATCTAATACCTCTTGTGTGGTGTTTCCCTGTTCGCCCTCCCACCACCACCAACCAATATTAATTCTAACCGTATTCCATGACAGGCTTTTTCACTTGAAGAATTGCACAATTTACGTCATCGTTGAGGCTTCGTGACCCCGTTCCAAGAAGTCAATTAGTGGAATTCCGCGGCCGGGAGAAGACGTAACAACGAGGCTACCTATTAAACACAAATGTGGTAAAGTGCTTTCTCAGAAATAAGAGAATGGGCCTGACGCGGGGTCACTATCCCGAATCAATGACAATCTCAAGTGATTAGAGAGGATTTGGGTTGTTTGGCACGGGTGCAAGTTGCCTGTGGTGGATTAGCCATGGCGAGCAGCACCCCGTATGGAATGACGATGGATCTGATATGAGCGATGTACGAGAAGGCAAGATCCACCAAGACTTACCTCGGATCCACCCTTACCTGGATTCACTAAGATGGATATGGGATATACTATACAAGAGTGGATCGAGTGTGGATCCTATGAAGGAAGGATGGTCGGTGCCCTCTGAAGGTGGATCTAGTAGCCACGGCAAATGAAGAGTCAAGATCCACCGCGAGGTACCCCGGATCCCATACTTCCGAGTTCGTATCCAAGGAGGGAGGATCCCGCCTGGAGGGACCTGGATCCAGGGTATAGGGATGAGGGATACAGTGGATCTCGAACTTTCGTGGGACAACGGAGATCACAGACGGTTGCGAGATGATGTTGGATGATTGGAGAGCTCGGATCCACGGCGAGTGTACCATTACAGTGAGGTGGATCCAAGCGACCTGGATCCGGATGAGTGTACCCATAATAGGGTGACCATGATGATTACGTCATATATCCGGTGGATCTGAAGATAACACAGCTGGGATGATGGGTCAAGGGAAGAAGGGACATGCAGCCGAGCCTGGTAAGGGATTTAGCAGATGAAAGACATAGAAGGTAGAAACCCAGGCAGGTATAGGCTTAAATATCAATACAGACTCCAATTTGCACAGTGACACGCAAGTGCCTTCCTGCCCTCAAGAACCGGAACTACATTGGCCGTACGAGCTCCGAGAAGGTTGGGAAATGCGAATCTAGTGTTGGTAGTGATAACTGGATAATACATGGGCCAGATCCCTACAACCTAGTAAGCTTTTCCTTTACTTGTGCAGATCCGACAGGCTAACCGAATTTACTACTTGGTCGGTTACACCCTAGAGGCTCTCAACTTTCAAGATCCCGTCACAGGAGGCGGCAAGTACGACACAAAGGAACTACAAAGGCAAAGGAACACACCCGTAAGGCAACCTACGGCCAGATCCACGATCTAGGCCCCGGATCCATAAGCTCGAATATTCGCTTAGGATTCGGAACAATCCACGGACGCAGAGTGAAGATTTTCCACTGCTGCTCCACCCCATCCCCACGTCTCGCCCAGACACTCAAGCTTCACCACTGGAACTCTTGGGAGATTACGCGAGAGAGCAAGATCCCCCCCTCTCCGAAGAATTACCCCAAGGGAGAGAAAATTTCCAGCCAGAAACACGATTCTTCGGGGGACCCCCTCTCTCTTATGTGCGTTTTGTGAGCGCAGTTGGTAAGTTGGATCTGGCAATCTCGCAGATTTTACTGATCCCGCTACACCACAATCGTGCGCGTGCCCGGATCTTTTGGTGACTCGGGATTTCACCGTGAGTCCCAAGAAGATGCTCAAGTGAAGATTGAGCCACGGGAAGAGGCGTCGTCGGAAGTCGGATCGACAAAGACGCTGCTGAATGAAACAAGATCCGCGGATCGATGCAGTTTTGGGAGGAACTCTGTCGACGGAAGAGAGGTGGATCCGGATCCGGATAATAGAAGAAAAACCTCTCTATCCTCCCCAGGTC